GAAATGAAGACAAGACGTGGGGAGCCCGATGACGTGGATGTGACTGCCGCTGAACAGCGGCAGGGAAACGAATAGAAGCCAGGACCACGGGGCGGGTGCTGGCCGGTTCTGTAAGGAAGGCCCCAAAAGTTATGATCTCTCAAACTCAGGATGGGAATACCATTATCGACGGAGAAGTTAACGGACAGGTGTGAGTTAACCCTTGATACTGGAGCTTCCCGGACAGAATCAGATACCAACTTCTGAAGTCATTTTACAAGAGCCTTTCTGGTGGAAATGTACAGCTCCTTACAGCTACTGGTCAGCACATAACCGTTCGAGGAGAAGGTATCGTACCTTCAAGATTGGTGGAAGAACATACAGACATGAGGTGGTTATTGCTGACATGTGGATGACTGTATTATCGGTTTAGACTTATGAAGCATTACAACTGTAAGATTGACCTGAAGAACGGCACATTCAAGTGTAGAGAAAGTAGTTTCCCTAAAAGATAAACATTGGAGAACGGGTACGACGTGTATAGAGCTATCATTGAAGATGGTACAGTTAGTAAACAACGAGATAAGTTCAAGCAATACTTGAGGACTGTAAGGAAACCTTGACGAGAAAGAAATGTCGAAAGCAAAGGGACTATTAAAAACATTTTCTGACATGTTTGCTACACACGATGGAGATCTAGGAAGGAAGGTGTAGTTAAACATCGAATTGAGACTGGAACCGAAGCACCTATACGTTTAAGACCGCGACGAGTACCTGTCGCATATGAAAAGAATATAGACAAGAATTGCAGAAATGTCAAACCATAATGTTATTGAAGCATCTTCCAGCCCTTGGTGCTCTCCAGTAGTTTTAGTCAAGAAAAAGGATAACAGTTTAAGGTTCTGCGTCGACTACCGTCGTCTTAACGATATACGAGGACAGTTTCCGTTACCTAGAATAGATGACACTTGGATACCTTAAGTGGGGCAAAATGGTTTTACAACTTTAGACTTGAAAAGTGGGTACTGGCAAGTGGAAATAGACTCAAGTCATAAAGAGAAAACAGCGTTCTCAACTGGTAAAGGACTATGGCAGTTTAAAGTTATGCCGTTTGGGCTTTGCAAGCACCTGCCACTTTGAAAGACTAATGGAAAGTAGTCAGGACTAAGGAGAAGCCTGCTTAGTGTACTTGGATGATGTAGTCATCATTGGGAAGGATTTTGATGATCACATACGAAATCTGCAACGGGTGCTCTCAGACTGCAAAAGCCAACCTGAAACTAAGGCAAAGAAATGTTTATTTTTCAAGAGAGCAGTGAGGCTACTTGGGGCACATTATATCAGAGGATGGAGTTCGAACAGACCCTGAGAAGATAGTTGCGGTGAAGGATTGCCAGTACCTAAAGATAACGAAGTCCGCGCTTTCTTAGGCTTATGTTCTTACTACCGGTTTGTGAGAAATTTCGCGGAATTGCAAAACCACTTCAAGACTACCGAAAGAAGAGGAAATTCACATGGGATGGAGAGTGTGAAGATGCGTTTAAGAGCTAAGAACCGACTGTGTGAGACTCCAATACTAGGCTACCCGGATCAAGATGGTGAATATGTGGTAGATACAGATGCCAGTGGAATTGGCATTGGAGGTGTACTATCACAAGTAAAAGGTGAGCATGAGCAAGTAATAGCCTACTTCAGCAAGTCATTGTCGAAACCAGAACGGAACTACTGTGTCACTCGGAGGGAACTACTGGCTGTTGTGAAGACGCTGCAGCACTTCAGTAAATACTTGCTAGGTCGCAAGTTCCGTCTTAGGACAGATCATGCTGCATTAAAATGGCTACTTCAGTTCAAGAATCCGGAAGGACAAGTGGCTCGATGGATCGAACAACTGAAGAGTATGACTTTGCTACTGAACATCGCAAGGGGCAGAGCCCACGGGAACGCAGATGCATTGTCTCGAAGGCCATGTAGGAGGATTGCAAACATGTAAAGACACGAAGGTAGAGAGGTAGCCCATGTAAGGATACTAAGGACAGACACCATTAGTCCAGATTGGTGTGGGAAATTAATTCAGGAAGAGCAACAACAAGATTCTGACATTAAACCAATTCTGGACTGGATGAAATCTTCAGCTATCAAGCCGCGGTGGAATGATGTTGCATCTACTAGCACCACGACCAAGAGTTACTGGGCTCAATGGGATAGCTTAGTTCTTCATAATGGAGTGTTATGTCGCAATGGGAAAACACTCGAGGGGATGCTTCTCATCTAAGTTAGTTGTGCCAAGATCCAAGGTTCGCAACATCTTGGAGATGTTTCATGATGGCTCATCGGGCGGACACTTAGGAGTAAAAAGGACTCTTCTGAAAATTAAAGAGAGATTTTATTGGATACATTGCCGTGAAGATGTGGAAGACTGGATTCGGAAATGTAAGGTTGTGCAGCAGTCAAAGGCCCACAGACGAGAACTAGAGCTGGTATGAAGCAATACAATGTCGGAGCTCCATGGGAGAGGATAGCCGTTGACATAGCTGGACCATTTCCGTTAACAGAAAAAGGAAATAAGTACATCATGGTTGTTTGGATTACTTTACGAAGTGGCCCGAAGTGTTCGCTATCCCAATCAAGAGGAGTTACAGTAGTGAGATACTTGTAAATGACGTATTCTCTAGATTCGGAGTACCCTTGGAGATTCACAGTGATCAGGGGAGAAATTTTGAGTCTTTATTGTTTCAAGAAGTATGCCGACTAATGGGAATTCATGACGGACTACTCCATTCACCCACAGTGATGGAATGGTGGAACGCTTTAATCAAACTTGGAAAGGCACTTGGCAAAACTGGTGGACAGCCATCAAAAGACTGGGACAAGTATATTCCATTATTTTTAATGTCATACCGGTCTGCGGTTCATGAAACCACGAATGTTACACCTGCTTTAGCCATGTTTGGGAGACAACTTAGATTACCAGCAGACATTGTAACGGGACGACCACCTGACACTCCGGAGAGTGTTACAGAATATGCTGCGGATTTGCGTAATAAACTGCATGAAATCCATGAACACGTACGAGCATCACAAAGCAAAATAAGTGAGACTACGAAGATTAGGTATGACAAAAGACAATCACATAGAATTTAAAGAAGGCTCGCAAGTATGGCTCCATAATCCAACAAAACGCAAAGGCAAATCACCAAAGCTTCAAGCTGACTGGGATGGTCCATACACGATAATCACGAAGATTAATGACGTTACTTACCGGATAAAGAAAATGAGTGTTTAAGAAGCAAACCGAAAGTCGTTCAATAAATCGATTGGCTCCCTATAAAGGAAGTAATGATGCTCGGGACGAGCATGTCTTAGGAGGGGTAGTGTTACGAAGACGGGTCGACTGCAATGTTTTTAGATTTTTCCACTACTTAGAGAACTTTTCAGCAGGCTGAAATGTGATTTCTGACCGTTTCAGGGGAGGGTCAATCACATATTAGAAAATCGCAATTTACATAATGTTACCCTAGTTTTCAGGAGCCTGAAACATTTTTTCAGGCCGTTTCAGAACACGTGTAGTCGAATGGTACACTTTTCAGGAAACCCGTTTTCAGGCGTTTTCAGGCCTGGTTATACCCCTTTGACGAAGGAATGTTCTAGAACGAATTTTCTAGGTGTGGGAAAGGACGGAACGATACGCGAAGAGAGGGAATCGGAACCTTCTCGAAGCTAGACCGAGCACTCTAGAACGCCGTACGACAAGGACGGAGCAATGTGCGAAAGAGATAGTAGTACGCACGTTCTAGAATTGTGCGATCGCTACTCAGTTGACTGCCCTAGAGAGTTCTCGAACATCGTCCCAGGGATATATAGCGAGCCGAAACGCGACCGATTAGTTCAGTTTTGAATGCGATACCAAGCGATAAACACCGGAGTGACAAAGTGCGAATATAGTGAAGAAAAGTGAATACAAGTACTGTGTGAAGTGCGTGTTATTAGAGTAATGTGACAGTATTTTGTGTGTTTATTTAGTGAATTTTTGTGCATAATTTCCAGTTTTTAGTGTTAACAAATTCCTCGTAGATTTAATTGAAATAAACCCTTGAAGAGATCTACGGCGTTTCTATCCGATCCCCAGCTCGTAACATATTTTCATAATACACATTTTTACCTTAATAATGAAAATATAGTCGCCTTGACTCGGTGCCAATGCGAGTTGAGCCTAATTGTGTGTCCAAATAAAAATAACTCTACACATCGGCTTTTGTAGAGAAACCAGGCTATGATAATGTATTTACATTTATTATGTACAATTCCTTATAATATAACAATTTCTTATAAATTAATGTTTACAATTATATTTTTGTTTTCCTAAATTAAATTGAATTATATACATCTTCATACAAAATGTCAAATAAAGTACCTAGGCTTTATGAGCTTGAGGGCACAAGTTTCTTTGTCTTGCCAATTATTTATTCAAATTTTATTACACTTTGTGTATGTATTATTAATTTAACATATTTTTCCATTTGCATATGGTCAAAATAGGTTCTATGGTATATGAAAGTGCAACTATGAAAGAAACTTGTTTCCTCATCTTTGGTGTGGAAAAAATGGTAAAGGTTATATACAAATGTATACACATATTGACTTTCAATTGTCATATTTCCCAACATTTTAAAACCAATTGAAAATGTAGAAAGTTTCTACAATATTCTTCATAATTTTTAACAGGAACTAAATATAACTTAAATTTATAATATAACTATGATTTTGTAATAACATCATCTCTTACCAATACACAGCCCTCACAATTTCCATATGTTCACTATTAAATAGTGCCATACGTTATGTTAGCCATGGCCATTATATTATTTCCGCATGCTTCGCTTTTAAACATAAGTAATTCTTTCCCCAGACATGATATCCAACTAAAATGAACTGAAAACATTGCTCAATGGAGATCAAGCTTTTGTACAAGAGAAATATTTAAGCTTATAAAATTCTGTCTTATGTAAATTCTAATTGGTGTCTCAGCTGGGGGCGTCACGCGCCAGCGCTGGTTGGTATAAAGACTCGTCTCGGGATATTACGCGTACCGAAAATGAATTAATAGACAGTGGTTCGCCTTGGATGATTTCTATGTTGCCGCTATTCGCCTGAAATAAATAATAATATTCGTAAAGATTAGAAAGAAGAGAAAATGTATTTTGTTTATCGAAGACTATGCATCTTCCTCGGTCATACTTGTTATTAATACCATAATATAGATCCATGATTGGAGATCACTTATAAAAATAGGCTACGAATGACAGTTTAAAAAAAAAATATTCCTTGACGTCATTTGGGTTTCTTGTTACAGTGCCAATGCGCTAATCATCAATCTTAAGCTTAATTACTCAATTATAAAAATCGGTATTAGAACAGTTCCTCTAGCGACGGAGAGGAGGCTGAACCAAAGACGTACCAGGAAAAGCGCAGCTAGCATGAGGTGTGAGGGCTTAGTGGCGTGTGCACGATAGTGTTGTCGTAACAGCGCCGTGAAGGGAGCGGGAGGTGCGGGGGCAGCTGGCGCCGAGCGTAGGACCAGCGCAGCCGTTCGCCGTACGTCAGGCGCATGCGACGTCGCACGCGCTAGGATGCCTTCCCGCCATTTCTGCCAGTCAGACGCCGAGGGATCCGGTGACCGACGTGGCTCGCCGTCGCTTGAGGAACTCTGCTCGAAGAAACCGTCGTCGTCGCTCTCGTCGGGAACTCGGAGGCGTACTCGTCGCAATTCACCGAGCGTCATATTGAGCGCCAAGCGTGCGGCTTCCTCGGGCCAGCCGCAGAAACCCCCGACATCGGCGGCGGCGCTGTCCCAGCCCCGGAAAAGGGTCGGCGAAGCGCTCGCGCGTAGCCGTAACCGCGTAGCCAACAGCTGCCCGCTACGCCGCACTACCACCCGCTGGATCCAACGCGAAGGGACACTGAACTCGATATCTTCGCCGCGCAGCGCTGTTAGTACCTCTGGATACAATATTTATTTGATTATTTATGGTGGCAAAAGGTTTTTTAGTTTCATTCGTTGTACTCATTGTACACATTATAATAATTCAATAATAAGGAGGCGATCTTTATTCGAGCGATCTTTTCTCTTTTTTTAAAATCCTATATTTATTTTAATTCTAGATAAATTGTATCTCTTAACTGACCAATAAAAGTGATACATGAAATTTGATGACAACACATATTCCGTTTATTCTAACATTCAGAAACGAACATTTCTGATACACAACTACAATACCTTCACTGATAATCAACTTCGCGCCGGGATCCAAGTCCTGGGCGACATCTATCCGTCTCTTTCTCTCCCGTTTGATGGACGACGGCAGGGGAGTGGAGCAATTGAATGGCGAGGGGGGCAGAAGTGGGGAGGGAGGCGGCGGCGGCACACTCAGCTGCGGCAGCGTCAACGGCGGCGGCTCACTAGGTGGCGGCGCGCTCGGCGGCGGCAATAATGACGCCCTCTCCTCTAGCTCCTCGAGAAGGAAGCCGCCCTGCGAAACAATGTTTTCAAGTAAAACCTCCAACCTAAGCTTTTATGGATTTTTGTCTTTAAACATTCCCGCTCAAAAGCATTCACATTTAAATAAAACTTCTTTAACGGATATAAACGCGAGTTAATTACATTTTTCACATCTCTCGGGTTAGCTACTGCGGGATTACATAAAGAAAATAATTCGTTATTAAATAAAGCAATGTGAAGAATTACTGTAATTTAATATAAACGTAAAAATGTAAGAAATAGACTATTACCGCTAATCTCCACGCGACATGGAAGTCAGCGAGCAGGCCAATTGGTTCGGAAGCGTAGTCTGTGAGCTGCGTGTCTGCCGGTGCCAGTGGGCGTGGCTCCAGCTCGATGTAAAGGCGTGGCAACGTGGGAGGCGGTCGAACTGTACCCTCACGCCTTGCCGATGAAGCAGTTTCCAATCGTATGGGCTCAAATGCCTCAACAGCGGCTGCTACCTTCCGCTTTGATGTGCTGCCACCACTGACATCCGCTTCGCCCTCTTCCGGATTGTCCTCGCTGAATTCATATGAATTGTTTTGAATAAATATTGATAAAAACAAAACAACATTAATTTCCTTTACTAATCAACTTCTGACATGCTAGACAAAATGTACGACGTGATAAACTTGTTGATTGTTCGTCTGTATTAGAATGAATAGCAAAGATTAGGTTTACAAAGTATCTACTGTATTAATAATACAATTACGATTTGTTATTGGTAACTGATCAACTGCGGTAAGGGCGTAAAAATAAGAAAAAAGAGAGTGCATGCAATGAATTGCACTGCACTTTCTTTTTTTGTTGTATTAATAATATTAAATAATTCTTTAAAAAAAAAAAGTTTGTTGAATCCCATAGCTATATCCCCAACCATATTGCATAGATGAATATTTCACTCGCAGTCTAGTACATGACATCTCATTGTTAATTTATCTGAAAGATATACTACCACAATTTTCTATGAAATAGACTGTAATATATCATTGGGGTTAACCATAATTGTATTATTTTAGTATGACGCAGCAGATATTTACAGCTGTTTTGTTATCAATTTATATTTTTTTTCTAAAAACTAAATATTTCCTATATAATATACACGCATCTCATGTGTATAAGTGTCAGCATAAGTATGAGAAGTCCTCAAATACATTTTTTGTATGAGAGTAACCTGTCTTTTTAATGACTCGCATACAGAATTACATTGTTAAAATAAATGTGAAATCTTGAATCTACCTAGAATACATTTACAAAACAAAAATGCCATTCACAAATTTTAGACACTTGTATTTACTTTAGACTGTTAGGAAGATAATAGCTAATTCAAGGTCAAGTAGTTGACTCAATTTGCATTTGGTAATATTTCTTGTAGTTATCAATTGTTACTAAGTTGAAAATAGCTTCTTTATACATGAATACTGTTTAACAAAAACTGGCCTTCCACTTTAGTTTAATAAAAAAATAGTTGTTACAGCAAAATCTAAGTAGCATTAATTAATACAATTTAATTTATATCCCTTTTTGTCATGAAAATAAATTTGGCATAGGAAAATAATTTAGGGAATTAATTAACCTTGAATTTGACATAGATATATCATTTGTTGTATTATAACTGGATGACACCAAATTTTATGTCTGCCACTAATCACCATAAGAATTAAAATATATACTAACAGGGTAGAATTGTTCAGTGCATCAGTGACACGCAGAACATCTTGATAAAGACAGTCAACTTTCCGACTGTATATGTGCGCAGACTGCTGGAGTAGTAATGCAATTTCTGCAAAGTTAGGTGCTACTTCTCCAGCTGGTCCGGGTTCATCGGTTTCAGATGCTTCCAGGGCATGTAAACCCGCCTCCGTCAGGTATTCCTCCAACAACTGTAAGATATATCACTTTTTAACCTCTTGGTGTTAATATTTGTAGCAGTAAAGCTTAGACTGACACTTATAACTACAATGTTATAAAGCTGAATAGTTAACCACACTTATTTGAGAGAATATATGTTTGCGTTACTTGGTCTCTTTGATAGATTGAATATATAACTTTGTACTACAACCAAATAAAGACTAGTGAAATTGAAGTGGATGCCTAAAAAATAAGGGTTGAACTTGCAAATCACTTTTGATAGGGTTTTAAGTTATAAGAAAAAAAAAAGGAATCGTTTTAATTTTGAAGCAGAGGTCTAACAACTTGTTACATATAAAAATTAAGGTAAGCGAACAAGAGCTATAATTTAATTCCAATATTTTTGTATAAATCAAGTATTTAGTTATGTTTTTGTTTTGTATTTACAGGATATGAAAAATTTAAATAATTTTTTTTTTATTCATTTGGATATCAGAACAAAAACTGATGTATGAAACAGCTAAACGGTATCGAATAATTTAAAGAAATCGGAGAAATAAGTTGCATTATTCTAATAAGATACTAGATTAGGCTTTATTGGCGCGGCGAGACCGCTTAGTTACCGCGCTTAGGTCCGTGTCGAAATTGCGGCGGATATCGCTGATGGGCTTCATCAGCTCCGCAACTATTTGTTCTAGCCTCTGCGAATTCATGCTCCAACGTTTTTGTTTTCTTGATATTTCTCTGAAAATAATGCACTTCTATTGAAAACATCCCTTGATAGCTTTGAAATTGCAGACATAACACTATGTTATCACTAGGGCAAGTGGCGCGAAACACTCTGTCAGGCCTATTTTAATTTTCATCAACGCTTTGATCACAACTTAAAAACTTATGAGCGCAATACGCTTTTACCTATAAAATCTAACCTTTCTTCGAGATCTGCGTCCATTTTATTACAATAAAATTGTGTGATTAGGAAAAAGGCAATGCAAACGGTGGCCATTTATTTGTTTTCAAATGAGATTTTCATGTTACATGTTTGGACGAATGTTACTCTATGGTAGTCATGTTCGCTGTTCGTTCGCGCTTTAGTTCGTGCCACAGAGGTGAAATACGATTTTCAGCTATGTTATATGTATATATTTTTGATCATTATTTTTAAATAATGGTTTATAATTTAATGAATAATATAAAAAAATAAATAAGTAAACAACGTTTTTATTTCGGTTTATATTTCTATAAAAAAAATTGGAAACCTCAATTTGTGTCTAATTTTATCTGCAATTTTTTTTCATTTTAATATTTTACACGATGATTTTTTACTTCCCATTCAAATATGTAATTTAAACTTAATTTTAATCTTGTATGGGTACCTGAATTTAGATTTTTTAGAACCTGTGGGCTGCGATCATAATAAAAGCAGGGAGAAATGCTAACAATGAATACAGAATAGTGAATAGTCAATATTCTTCCTAGATCCTAATCTGTGACACTGTGAATCTTGAGTTAAATAATTAATAATATTTATTTCGAAATCAAAATTTGATACATTATTATTATAAATCACCAACATATATAATCACTTCAAATATTAATGTTATATATAACTTACACGTTTTACTTACACTAGTATCTGTAATTTTCTGTATGAGTTTCACCAAATAAGAATACCTAAACGCTTCTGTTCATTGGAGTTGTTGCATTGTAAACTATATTTTTGTTTACACTTATTTATTTAGGACTTTGAGGATTTGAGAGAACGCTTTACAATCAAACATGAGTTTGTCTCGGTGTTACTCCCTAATGAAGTGCTTGCTAATCCTTTTCAATGTAATTTTTTTGGTACGTATGTCGATTAAGCTATTTTAGTTTTGATATAGAGCTTTCGAAATTCTGTTTGTCAAACCGTTGGATATTTCAAGTATGTATTTGGAAAGTGGTTTCACATTTTTATTAGTATATTAATTGTCTACAGTAGTGTTTTTGAAAAAAGTGATGATTAATTACAATATATTTATAAAATAATTTAATACTTTGCATTAGTTATTCCGAAGTGTTCTTCAGCTATCACAACTTAAGAAAATTTATTGCACTTATTGTATCTTATACATTTAATTTGAACATGATAAATATAAATAATAATATATCATAATGTTTTCAGTGTGTTGGTGTTGGGGTGTGTTCGTTTGCAGCATGGGCCTTGTGGGATGGTCGTGGCAGTGAGACAGGATCTGGGAAAGCTGGCCTGTGTGCACTTGCTGCCTGGGGTGCTGTATTGACATTGGGAGCTATAGCAGCACTGGCTGGGGCTGTGCGGGGCTCGGCATCATTGCTAGCTGCCAGTTTCGCATTGCTAGCATTGAGTGCAGTAGCTGAGGGGGCAGCAGCCTGGTGGGGTGCCGCCCATTTGCCGCAGCTGCGTGCTGCACTCGCTGATCGGTTACACCACACAGTGGTGCATGACTACGGCGTGCTGCCGGCACGCACGCAGATCATCGACGCGATACAATCAGGGGTTAGTACTCACTATCAAAACTAGACCATATACACGCGTTATAACAGTTTCAAACATGGATGTTACAAATAAAAATTGTTCCAATTCCTTATTGATGGTTAAGTTATTATTTATGGGATGAGAAAAGTATTTGTAAATTTTAGCGTGTGTATTGCAGTTGGAGTGCTGTGGGGCCTCTAGTCCTCGTGACTGGCAGCAGTCTGCATGGGCAGCAGGGGCTGGCTTGGAGCCCGGAGCAGCGGCACTTGATCTTAGCGTTGCAGCTGAGCCCGCCTACTACTATGTGCCGCCTTCTTGCTGCATCGTAAGTATACATACTTACGCGTTTTACAGATTACTAAAGAGTTTTTCATTGTTATATCCTTACATAACTAATAAATATGCAACATGCTCTATTCAAAAAGCACAATGAAAGATTAATACAAAATATTTACAATTATAGGTCTCCTATTCGACACAAAATTATCAAACCATTACTTGAAACCATTAATGAAATCAGAAAATTTGGCTTGGTGATTCTTGTGTTGACTATAAAAAATATTGCAAGACATGTTTATAGAACCTTGCACTAAGAATTTTTATGAAAAGAAATCTGTGGTATTGTTTTTTAGTTATTTAACGGCTTTTTTTCTATCTAAGAACCATTACATTGATAAATAGGCTTATTCTAGAACATTAATCAAACAACATGTTTCAAGCAATTTAAAAAAAAAAAGGCTTACAATATTTATTGAATAAAATCCTTCAGTATCTTTGACGCGATTATATATTAGGTCCTTACATATGAAATTGGCGTTTTGTATGGGACGAACAAAAAGTCGAATATTTTTAAATATAATATATTTAATTAATCAAAGTATGAACCATTGTTTTCTATGCACTTTTGCCATCTTAAGGTAGTTCATTGATCCCTTTACTAAAAAAACCAGTCGGACGGGAATCAATAAAATCTGTGAAGGCGATTTGGACTGCCCCATCAGAGTTAAATTTTTTCCCTTGCAAGTAGTTGTCCAAATTTCGAAAAAATGGTAATCTCTTGGAGCAAGGTCCGGGGAGTACGGAGGATGTCTTAGACATTCCAATTGAAGCTCTTCTAATTTGGTAGCCGTCTGTTGTGCAGTGTGTGGTCTAGCGTTGTTGTGAAGTAGCAGTGGCGTGGAGCGATTGACCAGCCTAGGTTGTTTAGCCGCTAGCTTTTCCATCATGGTTTACAATTGCTGACAATAGACATCAGCCGTAATAGTCTGGCCAGATTTGAGAAAACTGCAATGAACAATACCGGCACTAATCCACCAAACGCTTACAAGTAACTTTTTTGGGGTAAATTTTCGCTTGGGGCAGGATTTGGCTGGCTGGCCAGGATCCAACCATTGCGCTGAGCGCTTCCGATTATCGTTAAGAATCCATTTTTCATCACAGGTAATGATTCGGTTTAAAATACCTTCATTATTGTGCCGGTTCAGTAATGTAACACAGCAGTCGGCGCGCGTTTGCCGGTTTGCTTCAGTTAATTCTTGAGGTACCCATCTTTCAAGCTTTTTAATCTTTCCAATTTGCTTCAAGTGAATTAAAACAGTTTTATCACTAACACCGCAGCCTGCAGCTAACTCGGACGTGGTTTGCGATGGATCCGCTTCCACAATAGCCTTCAATACTTCATTATCAACTTGGGTCTCAGGCCGTCCACGGGGCTTGTTCTGCAGGTCGAAATTTCCAGAACGAAAACGTTGGAACCAAAAACGAACTGTGTTTTCTTTTGCAACATGACCACCATACACATCATTCACCCTTCGAGTCGTTTCCGCAGCACTAGTGCCACGGCGGAACTCGTAGTCGTAAATAATGCGATTCTTTAAGTTTTCCATTTTGTAAAATGAGTGACGCAAACAGAAAAAAACAAGAAAAAAACAAATGAATGACGGTCATCGAAGCACAAATACATGAGTAAATAGCTGTACAAATTTGAATTTGGAATTCCTTACCAAAGAGGAGAACATCGTGATTAAAGTGGCCAGTATGAAATACGCCAATTTCATATGTAAGGACCTAATATTTATAATTGTGAAACCCAATTGCGTTGGCGTGTCGCAATGCTCGTTTTAAAAAATCGCAATTTTTATTCCTTATTCTACTTATATCCGTAAAAAAAACTGGAAAAATAAAATTGGTGTAAAAAAAAAATGAGGTGAGTGCAAAGGGCAAATTGCTAAACTACATAAGATATACAATGAATTAGTCAAGAATAAAACAAAACATATTGTGTAGACAATGAAAAGACAATACAAAGAACACATAAATCACGATAATTTCAGTTAGTTTTAATTAGTAAGAAATTAAGGGATACGTATATGTATAGGCTTGTACTGCAGAGATTTAAATGAAAATTCCATAGGATGTCCAAAAGGACTCGTCGATAAAAAGGAAGAGTTATATGATGGGATTTCAAGGATTTAGTTTTCGGAAAAGCGTAGGCTATAGCTATGAGCTCCCGTGAACTTAAAATCGTTCTTGAGGTAAAAAGGAGTTTTAGAAGAGGATGGAAAGATTGAGAGATAAGAGATGGAGAGAGAATCACGCTACTGACGAATGTGTAACCAGCCAAGCCCCTTACAGAGATGTGGTGGTACTTTATTAAACCAAATATGAAACGTATAGAGAAATTTGGATACCAGTTTATTAAGCAATTCCTCATTTAGATCAGAAGAGCAAAAATCAAAGTAGTCCAGTAATGGTAGAAGGAGAGAGGTACCAGTGAGATTTTTGCGCTATTGGGAAGAAAATTTGCAAATACATCAAGTTATACTTGAGGCATCGTATATGCGGCTAACTTGTTTAATATGTAGCTCCTAGGATAAATTTGGATTAACTAAGAATTATTATTTTAATAATAAAATAATATTTGCCACTAAATTTTACAAAATATATAATACATAGGCATTCTATATATTATGTCTCTCTTAGAGATTATACAGAGAGAAAACCGACGCGTCGTTGTGGAATTGGTCGTAGCAGTGCTAATATTACCGTTTTTGTCTGTGGACCACCCTGTTACGTCATTGTAGTTCACAGTAATCATATTGATAGTTAACATACAAATAATATATGTACACATATAATTTTGCAATAAATAATAAATATGTAGCAAATAAGAACTATATTAGTTCGCACAGTCGCCACGTCGATTCTCTATCTGCAAAGTCTCCATTACGTTTTGACTGTATTGTATATTTTTGTTTGAGGATGGGGCGGTTCCGGCATGCGACGTAGCGCGCCGGGTACCAGCAGCGTCCGGGGGCGGCGTAGGGCTACACGCGGCGGGGTGCGGGGGCCGCGTTTTGACTACGCTAGCCAACGCTGCTCGCGCGCCTTTGCTCGCCGCGGCCACGCTTCTCGTTGCCCATGCGCTCTCGCTCCTGCTCGCGCTTGCCCTTACTCTCCGCGCACATCCCTCGCACAACTATAAAGCGTAAGGCAACTGTTACACTGGCGTATGTACTATACTCCGACGTTTTTACAAATAACATACAAACCTATACTCCACGAATTACTATAGAAATGTGACTGCGCTCCAGGGGCGTCTTCACCCGTCACACAACCCGTACTCGGACTGATAAAACCTTAAATATCATAATAATAAAACCTTGTTTAATACAAGTGGAATTGAGAACAACAGGGTTTATAAACACTTATTGATTACAAACAGTTATTATAAGATATTATTTTAATATGTTTGTCGCATGTCGTTAAGCGACTTTAGTGTGTATAGCATAGACACTCTACCCACCGTCACAATGCATTTATTTTGTTCCTATTATAATTAGTTTTATTCAGTAGTCTATGAATCTGAGCACACACACATGTGAACGTAGCGATATTATAGAGCGAGATCCCAAATATTTTCTTACAACTTAACATTTAACTTAACTTACATTCGGTATATTATGATAAAATAATAATCTCTGGCGGGATCTTGGACCAATATAATTAGCATTTAAAAGCACCATACAATGAAAAATATTCATATTTGTAGGTAACTGATTATAATACTTTCTAAGTCATGACAAAGTTTTTATATTCACAAACATAATTTATTTATATTAAAATAAATTATAATTAAGTTTATTGATGTAAGGCATTAACCAAAACGTGTGTAGTTTTAATGTTAGACGTAGTTCTTATACAATAATCTTTATATTTAAAAATACTTTTGAATAACATATTATATAGGTACAAACTAAACGATGTCTTATCTCAGTTCACGGATGTTTTTGTTTAAAGTTTTTTAAAATAAATAAGGTTTTCAACCATGATTCCATAACGAACTCACTCAGAGTCGTCCATTAAATTATCTGTAATGGTAGATTTTTTTTATTATTACAAATGTAAAGTTTAATAATAAAAATAATTACTTATTAGTTAATGTCTGATGTAAAGAAGAATAGGGCATTAAAAGCTTTTTATCATCTATCTATGAATAATTGGTTAGCCCTTAATGAACGACTTTGAGTACTGTTGTAATTTTATACGCAAGTGTGTCCATTACACTGCCATTTATTGACTGATTTTTTATATATAATAAATAATCGTGTGTGTCTGTACACGTTCTCGATGTATCGTTTGAGTACAAATTTTTGTTTTTTTTTAAATATATGTTATGTGTAAGATTGTTAAATTACTTTATAGTTTAAATTTTTAACAAGTACAAATACAGTACTTCGACTGATTCAGTTAAGACTACTTCATTTTGATATTCCATGTGTTTTTTTTACAATAATATTGATAATAATAATGGTAGCTATTGTTGTCTATTTCATGGTCTATAGTCTATGGCATTTCCACTCACTCCCGAATCTCAGGATAAGAGCGATAAATTAATTTAAGTTATACCATCATCTGGTGCCATGTATTTTTAGTTATATTTATTGTTGTGTTCGGTGTCTTAAAATAAATGAACAAAAAGTGTTGTGTTTGTTTCTTTACTTCTTATATATTGCGATACTATTATTTTTCAACCTACACCAAACTTAAAGACAACTTTCCTTTTAACAATGCAAATAATACTTTGAATATAACCCACAAAAAAGTACATATGGCGCCTGTTAATTGGACATTTAATTTAACTTTCGTGACGTCTCGAACTCAATTGATATTCCATCGCGTGTCGGAAAATATCATGAAAATGATGTCATGTTAGCTGATCTAACATGCAAAGTGAACCTAAGTTAAACGTTACTCAGAATATGTTTTTACAGAGGCGATTTATTTTCGAAAACATCCAGCGTGTTATTGCGTAGTATAAAATATTAGGCGCTTACATTACTTGTATTTAATACAAAAATATATATTAAGTTTGTAGTATAAATTATATAATATAATCGGTGTTATGATATATCTGATGACAATAGTATTTTTAAAAACACTTCAACTTATTGCACTGGTTACTACATATTTATTTCCATTATCTTGGAGATACAACGATATATAGGCTAAATTCGAATCGCAGATAAAGAAATAATACAACTTGTGTAACTAAATAAATAGAACATGAGAGCGTAAGTCTCGCGGTCAAAGATACTTAACTATCTTAGTTTAGTTCGCATAGTTGTGAACGTTACTCTACTGACAATTTTTCTTATTATCAGCACTTTTGATGGCCTAACTATGTATTTAATTGACCTGAAGCTAACATAGCGAGAAGCTATCGCGGGTCATTCAAATATACGTAACAATGAACCATCTGTGGACAATTGAATGCATTTGATGATTGCGAAACTTTGTGACAATCACAGATTGCATCAGTCGTGCTTACTGCTTAGACCTAGCGATGGTAAATGATGACACTACAACAAACACATCAAATTCTCATTTGCAAACTCTGATGTAAGGAGACATTAGGTGTATGTTTGCAACATTCTGCTGACTCTAATAAGAGTCGTGTAACATGTACATTAAATATTATCATTTGTCGCTATTGGATTTAAATAACTTTATATAACGTGAATGCTTGATGACCAAGGGTATAGGTAAATATTAGTTTAGTTGTATTATAATTCATTTCCACGTCGAATTGTTAAGAGTTCAGGTTTCTTGAAGTCGGTTAAAATTGTATTTAGAAGTGAACAATGCGCCTATCTATTTGTTATCTATACGTATCAGTCTTGTTCATAAAATAAAATACTTACTAATAATAACAATTTGTTGTTAAACAATTCATACTTGTTAATCTTACTTTATGTTGTCGTCATTAATTGATAGTCGAAGTGACTATTAAAACAAAACAAAAATATTCAATAGCTATTTCAGGCTAACATAAAACGTTTATAAAAACCTGACCCGACCTACGCCATATTTTCCTCCACCGTTTTATAAGTCCACTGGTGCACAGCCGTGATTCGAACACACAACCTCGGAGTTGATGGTCGCACCCTTAAGTCTAAGCCATTGAAAACTTGAATCTAACTTTATCGCATTGGATCGTCGTCGTTATTGGCTAATCAATTTCACCTACAAATTGTGTGAAAACCTTCAACTTTGTAACCAAGCTCGATCATAAGAAATTTTGTCAGTAACAGTTCTTCAGTAGTGATATAACTAAATATATTTTTTTGTTGATGTAGGTATTTAAAGTCGTAAGATGATGTGTGGTGTAATTGTAGTTGATTGTGTCGCGATACCGTAGGCAGAGGGTCGCGACTCGCAGCGTCTAATGGTCTTCAATTAGAAGCAATCAGCCCTCGTCTTGAGCTTGTGACACTCGCCGCTCGGCACAAATCAACTGTTGCTTATTGATTCAACTATTTAGGTCAACCGAATTTGTACCTAGTGGCGAGTGGATCAACCGAGCGGTAGCGTAACTGCTACCCACCTGCCGAGGAAGGGACTCAAGGGCTAAACGACCACTGATCGTATTGACTATTCTATAGAAAAGAAAGCAACTTATAAATTACCTGTATAAGATCGGAATGCGCACGTGTACGGGTCGAAACAGGTTTTTGACTTAGTGTGCGCTGTTTGTTTCTTTGTGTGCCTTTTGAAGATGGCGCAATTTCTACTTGTCGACTGTATAAGTAACTGAACTTGAAACTAAATTAAACCTGTTTAAACTATGATCTGGTAACTTTTATATTCATTGACTAACTAATACAACAAACGCATTATTACCTTCTTGACCTCAGGGAAGGGCGTAAAGCAGCTGTCGGGTCAGTTATACCGGTCCCTTTTCGGGCGAGTATATATTTTTTAACTCAAATTTATAGTGTATTTGACTATCTTGAGTAAAATTTAATCCACCCGACTTCTATTTATTGAATTATTCTTTAGTATAGTTTTTCTGACCTGATTGTTTTAAGTGCACGAATGTATACTTTGCGTAGGTGACCTTGGTTAAAGCTATTAAATAAAATTGTGCCATTCATTATTTCAAAGAAACTAACCATTTTTAATTGCTAGTTTGCGTATCTCAGTAGTCATTGTATATTTAGTCAATGGTAAATGGAAGTGTAGCATGAAGCATAAGCAACGGTTTACTCATTACTGCTACGGTTGTCGGTTACCCAACTGAGGTCCGGGACGCAGGACGCACGCTCCGCACCCCCGCTCTTTCTATTCACAAACCGCCCGCTCCAGACGCGCGCCTAGTGTCGACAGTGAAATTCAAAACAAAAAGGTCGTCAGTGCCTTATGAGGCTTGGTGAGTGTCGGGCGTGCGCGTGTTCCCTCTAAGCTAGTAAAGGGTCGCGGCAGGCCCCCAATGTGCAGTCAGTGAACAGCTAGTGACCGCCAGCTGCAGCGCCGCCATGGGCTGCGCTCGCGGGATTTGCACCTCACAGAGCGTCTTCATCTTTATCAACATCGCTTTTGCAGTAAGTTTAATGACCAACCCCTGTGTTTGCATGTTTAAGGATATAATTTTTTGTGCGTGCAGAGTGAACAACTTTTTTTAAATAAAGAGTTTTGATTATTTATATATCCGGTGATATAATTATTTGTTTTTATATATATATGTTATTAAGTAATTGTTTTAATTTCGTAATGAAGATATTTGTGTAAATAAATTGCTATAATCCCTTATTATACGAATTGATTTACTTGTTTTATAAAAAAAATATAAATATGTAATAATTACAAAGTTAATCGAACTTATTTCTGTTTTATACCGACAAAAATGTCTGCATTCCTGAATAAAAATATGAGTAACGACGGTTCAAGTCATAGCCGAGTTAAGATTTAAGCACACAGTACATGACCTGAAATTAAGACGAGGTCACAGTCGTTTGATTTAGCACTTGTAATGCAATTCCAAAATATTGAGTTCATAATGTAAATATTGTGGTGACGTCAAGCTAATCTTGATCTCTCGCATAACCTTATGCCTGCAGCAGCCATACCTTTGATAAGTAGTTATTATCATTAGATGTCATATTGTAATATTTCCTTCAATTATAAAATCAATTCACGTAATATCAGAAAT